GAAGTATAGTTGATTTACATTTGAATCACTTAAAAATTCACGTTAGAAAAATGTTTTTAAAAATCTGACCGATTCATTTAACAGCTGTAATACAGCATCTGTTCCTGCCTGGGGTTGCAGCCAGATCAGAAGTGGGCTCTGGCCTTCACACCTGATGATAATGACTTCTCTAAGCTGTAGTCCCTATTGCTCAGTGAGTGGCCTGCTAGAAATACTCTCTGGCCTCCAGGGTCAGAGATGTGGAGTCTTCTACCACGGGCATTGGGCAAACCCTCCCTGACTGGAGCTCACATAGTCATACCACCTTCCCTCCTGAAATTAAAACGAAGATCACATTACTCCCAGCCTCCTGTGGTTATTATGAAGATTAAATACTTGGCCAAAACTCTTATTACAAGCTTGAGGACATAGTGACTCACTGCATAAGTATTAGATATGATTATTATTCTTATTTATAAATAACTGGTAGGAGGTACAATATGTTGAGGGTGTATTGGTTCTCATTTCCCACATTAACCCCATAAGGACTCCTAGTGGAGTTGGTGGTCAGTAAAAGAAGATAATATTCAACTTCCTTATGTTGATATTAATAATTGTTAAAATGATGGTTCTCATGGTTACCGATTTAGCAGTTTCTGCGCTTTATCTCAATGTTTCGCCAAATACACTCTACAAAGGATGCATGGGTGAACGTTGTTTTAATAGGAATTTATTTTAATGTGTATTAGTTGAAGAAATGTAACTAGCACATCAAATTTATGATTTCTTGGCCATTATTGCCTAAGATGAAGCTGACATTTGGGAAAGCTGTAGGTTGAAATTAAGATTGTATTTAATATACAATCATATATATTATAAGGGGGCAGAGATAAATTAAGAATTTGGGAGTAACATATACACACTACTATATATAAAATAGATAAACAACAAGGACCTACTGTATAGCACGGGGGACTATACTCAATATTTTGTAATAACCTGTATGGGAAAAGAATCTGAAAAAGAATAACTGAATCACTGCTGTACACCTAAAACTAACACAACATTGTGAATCAACTGTGCTTCAGTAAAAAAGAAATTAAAACAAAGAAATTAAGATTATATATATACACAGAAACACATATACACACATAACATACATATATACATATATATTAAAAATAAGTTTATGTGGCTATGGCAAAAATTTGTAGGGGATACAGTTTTCCTATTTCATCCTCCCTTAGTCTTGAGAGGCAGGGAGAGGCCTCCCTTAGTCTTATTCTCCCCATTTTACAGATGAAGAAACGGGGGTTTAAAAAGTCCCATTTTTTCTCAAGTGCCTCTTAACAGGTGGTGGACCTGAGATTCAAATTCACAATCTTTGTTCTCTCTTGTTCTGCCCGTGGGGTTGTTTCTCACTTCTCTTCCGGGGAATGCATTTTTTTCCCCAAATTTTTATATTAACTTTTATTGGTTTTTTCTTCCTATACAATTAAGACATTCATTACAGAAATTGTAGAAAATACAAAGAAGGATAAAAGAAAACAATTTTTTTTATTGTGGTTAGAACACTTAACATGAGATGTACATTCCTAACAACTTTTTACGTGTATAATACAGTACTGCTAACTAAAGGCATGAGGTTGTACAGCAGATCTCCTTTGACTTTCCTGTCACAGCCCTGTCAGGTGGTCCAAACAAGGACACAGAGAGAGGTCAGTGAACTTGCTGGAGCCCCACAAGAAAGTATGAGCACCCCGAGCCCTGGCTCCCAGGCCCTCCCTCTAAAGCACAGTGCATCACAGTATGGGTTCTGGCAAGTTGTGCCTTTCTTTGGAAGAAAAAGCAGTGTGCTCCCAGGGTCCCATCAGAAGCCACCCGAGTTTAATATTGCCATAAGCTTCTCCCTGTTGGGGAGCAGGGTCTGTAAGTGGTGGCCTGGGCTCTGTTCCCAGGATGGCAGCAACACTGGTTGGCTCTGAAATCTACCCTGGTCTCTTCTGAGCAAAGATCTCAATAATCCTGTCTACACAAATGCGCACACATAGGCATGCGCCCACTGATTTAATTAAGCCACTTCTCGACTTCTCAACGGGAGCACAGGCTCCGGACGCGCAGGCTCAGCAGCCATGGCTCACGGGCCTAGCTGCTCCGCGGCATGTGGGACCTTCCCGGACCGGGGCACGAACCCGTGTCCCCTGCATCGGCAGGCGGACCCTCAACCACTGCGCCACCAGGGAAGCCCTAACATTTTTATTGGAATACAATTGCTTTACAATGGCGTGTTAGTTTCTGCTTTATAACAAAGTGAATCAGCTATACATATACATATATCCCCATATCCCCTCCCTCTTGCCTCTCCCTCCCACCCTCCCTATCCCACCCTTCTAGGTGGTCACAAAGCACCGAGCTGATCTCCCTGTGCCATGCGGCTGCTTCCCACTAGCTATCTATTTTACGTTTGGTAGTGTATATACGTCCATGCCACTCTCTCACTTCGTCCCAGATTACACTTCCCCCTCCCCATGTCCTCAAGTCCATTCTCTACGTCTGCATCTTTATTCCTGTCCTGGCCCTATGTTCTTCAGAACCTTTTTTTTTTTTTAGATTCCATATATATGTGTTAGCATACAGTATTTGTTTTTCTCTTTCTGACTTACTTCACTCTGTATGACAGACTCTAGGTCCATCCACCTCACTACAAATAACTCAGTTTCATTCTTTTTATGATTGAGTAATATTCCATTGCATATATGTGCCACATCTTCTTTATCCATTCATCTGTCGATGGACACTTAGGTTGACTGTCACTTTTCAGCCGGTCACTTTGGGATCTTTTGGGCTCACTGCTTCCTTTCGTGGTGAATTGGGGGGAAGAAAGGTCAGGATGTTAGGCAGCACTGGTTTTTTGAGTGCCCACAAAAAGCAGATGCCGTGTAAATGGAGGTTTACCATTACTATTGCCATGGCGTTCATAGTGGCCTGTGATTCTGTGAAGTCATATCTTAGGTCTCTGTGGGTTTCCGAAGCTGAGCTCTTACATCCACGTTAGTCATATGGCTAGGAACCCAAGTGCCCCCATTTTGTCATTATAAGACAACACCAAGAGAAAATTAAAAGGATTAAATTAAATTTAAAATTAAAATTAAAAGGCAAATTAAAAGGATTTAATTTTGACCCTGGCACCACAGATGAGCTGAAGAGAAGGCCTCCAGTCTTTACAATTTCAACAAAAATGTGCTGGTCCCAGGTGCTTGTTAAAGATCTTTTTCTTCCCCATCATTATTACCAAAAGATGCTGCCCAGAAAAGGGTAACATGAATAAAATACATTTCTTCTTAGAGTCTAATGGTTTAAGAAAAGGGTTTTTTGGTGAGGGACTCAGACACTTCCTGGTGGGTGTTGAAGGTCATTGTTAGTATATGCTGTTGTTTACTGGTTAGGAACTATCATTCATGTTTCTTCTTAGGGCTCCCGCCAAATGGCAGCGTTTTCTGGCTAAATTATTCTTAGCCAGGGCGTTGCCTGTGGCGAGCTGTGTCGGGCACACCAGCACACTTGCCTGTGGGCCTGGGCTTTGGCATTCATCTGCCTCCAGCTTTCCCCAGTCTTCACCCCATCCGCTTCTGACCAGCCTCAGCTGCTGACAGAGGTGCTGTCGATCGGCCTCAAAGGCCCGATGGGAGGCACTGTCCACCCTCCCAGTCTACAGCGCAAAAGGGGAGAAGCCAACTGAAAACACACAAGGACCTAATCAGAACTTTATGTTACGCAAAGGAAATTGCATTTCAAGCTCTGGACAGCTCGAGCCATTCTAAACCTGATTAAGATTCATCCAGTACCAAATTGTGATAAATGTTATTTTGGAAAAGTGGGTTGTCAGTATTTTCAGATTCACTTCTTCACCCAGAAGATCTGTGTGTTTTCCTCTTTCTTTAGGGGAGTCAGAATAAGAGAAAGCCTTGGGTCGTCCTCACTTGTTTGCTGGGCAAAATTGAGAAGGTTTTGGCTGTTCCTTGAGTAGCTCTGTACAGCACGCCAGGATGGAGAGACTCTCACTCCGGCCACCGTCACTCAGCGCCCCGAAGTTTCTCATTCCCCTGCCCTCACCTCTGTAGCACAGGGGTGCCCACTTTCTGGACTGACCTGGTTGGGGAGCCAGTGAGCTCATTTAAAAGGGGAATGATCACAGTGAGAATTCAGGCAGACAGCTGCCAAGCTGGGGAGAGGGTTTAGAGCAGGTTTTGTTGTTGGTTTTTGTTTTTGTCCCAAATAAAATGCTACATAAAATTTTGGAGAAGAAATAGAATCTTTCCTAATTCCACCATGCTTTGTAGTTGCTAGGTAGCTTCTTTGATCTTTTAGTGCATTTATTTGTAGACATAAATGTATGCTGCTTATAGAAACTGGAATCATTACTGTTCTGTGTTGAAATGTGTGGTTTTCATTTAGTATATTCAGAGCATCATTCCATATTGATGTTGAGTTCGCCATCATTTTTAATGAGTGCTGAGTAATTTTCTCTCTGGGGACTCCTCGCCCCTCTATTCCTCCTTTGTTTTCTCTTCTCTTTTCCTCCCTACCCCCCTCCTCTCCCTTCCTTCACTGGCAGTTCTGTTATAACTGTTCTCCCTCATAATCTATCATCTTTTTCTCCAGGTCCATGTAATTGTTTTCTTTTTTTCACTCTGACATGTTGTTATATACGCTCTGACATATGCAAATAATATGAAATAAAGAGAGGATTTTTGTAGTTTTGGACCATGCTGGCTTCTGTGACTCAGACCGAAACAATCTGTGTTTCCATCTTTTGGTGTGTGTTGGCCTTGTAATATTTTCTGTCCAGATTCTGTGAGAACGAACATGACAGAATTTTGAAAGGCTTTCATATCCCCAGAAGGAAGAAATGACAAAGAGGCAAGACATTATAATGAATGTTTATAATCTCTGTTTAAGAACATGATAGTCTCAAGCCCTCTGTCACTTCTAAGTCTCGATGATTTATCTTGTTTCCTCAGACCCTGTGCCAGTGCACAAAGATGTGCAGAATGAAGCGGACAGTGCACCAGAAGACCTCCAGTCTGTTGAGACTAGCAGGCTGCTCTATCACATCACTGATGGTGACAACCCGCTTCTGTCACCACGATGCTCCATCTTTAGCCAAAGCCAGAGATTCAACTTAGACCCTGAATCAGCCCCTTCTCCACCCAGCACTCAGCAGTTTATGATGTAAGAAAACCTTGTTTTGTTCTTGTCTTCATTTCATGCAGTTTTTTAAAATACTATTTACAATACAACCCAATACTTTTATAAATTGAGTGAAGTGTGTGTCTAAAATAGAGCAAACATGCCTACCAAAAGCAGCTGCAAGCCCTGAACAATAAATGGCAAAAAAGCGGAGTATTTTCTAGTTGAGAATGCTGTTTCAGGCCTTCCTGAACCAGGAGGAGATGGTCTCGAGACACAGGCTGCCCTACGGCTCACGTGTCTGAACATTTTTGGTGAAATGACCAGAATCCTAAGTCTGTGTACATGCAAGTACCACGAATTCTCGATGAGCTCATAAGTATTCTTTCCACGTCCAGCAGTGGCCTCGATGGATGGATTGTAGCAATGCTTGTGAGTTGTACATCTCAATTTCTTCTTAGATTCTAGAAAAGTGGTAGCTTACAGTAGCTCCCCTAGACAAAAAAAGTGTGCAACTGTGTGTTCTTTTTTTTTTAAGTTGCGTAAGTAGTTTTGATGCGTAGCTAAAATGAGTCTCCCTTGACCAAAAATGCGTGCAGGGAATTCCTAGTTTCTCCTTAATAACTCCTGCTGTTCCTCATGAGTTTATCTAGACCAGGGTCCATGGACTGTCTACTGGTGGACTTGAGGGATTTAGTGCATTATTACTATTGTAAATTATGTCAGGTGAGAAGGTGAAGGCGTTTTCTGGAGAGGGGGTCCATTCCTTTGATGAGATTCACAAAGGCTCTGTCATAGAAAGAAGAGTTAACTACTCTTCTAAATCTTCCTTGAAATTGTTTTTAGGTGGGGCTCATGCAACTTACTGAGGATAACGGTACAATAGGGCTCTCTCATTAGTCTGAAATTGGTATCCTCCAAGCTTTAGGAAATATATTTCCTAGACTAATATTCTGACATTTGTAGACTAAAGTCCCTGATGACATTTGCCCATAATGGAGTTCTGTGATCAGGGATCTCCAGTAATGAGCACATGCTACCATAGTAGACTCATCAAATAATGAACTGGCCTCTGGACTTCTCTGAATCTAGGAAGCTTGGTTTGTAGACCAGCAGCAGTGTTTACTGGAAGACCATTCTTTTAAAATTTATATCATTAAAAAAATTTTTTATTGGAGTACAGTTGATTTATAATGTTGTATTAGTATGTGCTGTACAGCAGAGTGGATCAGTTTTACATATATCCACTCTTTTTCACATTCTTTTTCTCGTATAGGCCATCACAGAGTATTGAGTAGAGTTCCCTGTGCTCTACAGTAGGCCCTTATTAGTTACCTCTTTTATATATAGTACTGTTTTTGATGATTCTTTCCCTCTCTGGAATCATTGCAGGCCCCGAAGTTCTTCTCGGTGCAGCTGTGGTGATAGCAAAGAGCCACAGACCATTACCCAGCTCACCAAGCACATCCAGAGCCTCAAGCGGAAAATTCGGAAATTTGAAGAAAAATTTGAACAAGAAAAGAAATACCGGGTAAGGACCCTGTGGTTTGAAATGAGTGGATTGTGTTAGAAATGCGTGGAGTTTTCTGTCCTTCCTTTTTGAGTGCATCTCTGTGCCAAGGGACAGCTCAGTTTCCATTGGCCAGCCCAGGACCTATCATAAATTAAGTTTCCATCCTGGGTCTGTCTTGTTCTCACATGCTGTTAGCTGATCTCTGCTAAGATAATTCCTAGTAGCAAATTACAACTCTTATTTCTAAACTGATTTGATTATTGATCTCTCCATTTTTTTTTTTTCTGAGGAACCTTACTCTCATTAGTGTTCCTAGGACTAAAATTTGGAAAGCTTTTGAATTATGGTCTTATTTTTTCTTTAGCCTTTTCTCATTTGCATTTGATAAGAAGCTAGTAAGGACTCAAAAGACAGAATCTCTCATTGTGGAACAGAATGAGGGAGAGTTGTCTTTGACCATAAAGTACTTTCTGGTTGATGGGTGAGGACCTATCACGCGACGTCTATTCAGGCCACTCTTAAGAACAAACCCTGATCCCATCCTTTCCTGTCAGAGAGACACCAGCCTTCTTACTGGTGCTGCAGTGTTACAATCATGAACCTTTCCTTTTCTTACTTAAGAAACAATAGAGTCAGAGGTAAGTGTCCTGATGGCCAATGCTAGTTTTATTTATTGTCTCTACTGGTGACTGTGGCATACAGAAGAATCATATCCATGTAGAATTGCACAAAGATACTGGGTCTTTGGCAGAGGGTCCAGAGCAGCTTGTTATTAAAATAAATGAGACCAGGGAATGTCTCAAACATCTTAAAATATTTAAAGGCTTACTAAGCTCTTGGTCCAGAGGCAATCTGCATGCAGGTCCCTGTAGTGTGGGTAAGTTCTGGGGAGGGAGGTGAGAGCAGGTAATATTCCACTCTCCTGTTCTTCCTGTCCTGTGTTGCCCACAGTGACTTCAAATTCACTAAAAGAGGGGTTTTAAGGAGGGAGTTTTAGCTTTGCTAAAAATGAAAGAAAAATCAGATTGGCTTTCAAGACAACCTTAAGGTGTTGAAGATTCTTCTGTTCCTTGAGGTCAGGCAGTCACAACTACTTATTGCCTTTTATAGCGCAGGAGGGTGCTCTACACATTGTGAGTACAGGCCTTTATTTTACAGATAAGGAGACGGAGGCCCAGCAAAGACTTAGAACCTTCTTAAGGGGGTTGTGTTCTGTCAGCTCAGGCTTGTGGTGGTTAAAGATGAGTAGTTTTTGCAATGGAGAAGTACAAGTAAAATTCATTAAGTGGCCACTGAAAGTTGAGAGCTCCAGATAGCCTGAGAGAAGTTGATTTTCCTTACTTGCTGCTGGAGTTTTATTGGATCTGTGATGCCCTCGTATTGGAATCTGTAGAGAAACAGTCAGGGGCTCCATCCCCAGAGCCTATTAATATTTCTTATCTGGCAGTTCTTGAATCAGACTGATCTGGATTTGAATCCGCACAGCCACTTAGGAACTCTGTGACTTTGGACTTGTTACTTTCTCTTTCTTAGTCTCAGTTTGTCCATCTGTACAGTGGAGTTAATATTAGTAGTGACTTCTTAAGTTTGTGAGTATTAAATGAGGGAGTGCATATATAATGCTTTTTACAGTTCTGGCACAAAGGAAGTGAGTGGTCTTAGATATTATTAACTTCTTAGTCTGTTTGAGTGATATTTGAATAGGCTATCCTATGGCAACCTCTGCCTTGTCAAAAAATAAAGGAAAATTATAGACATTAATTTTCCATTGGATTTTTCTACCTGCAGCTGCAGACCCTGGATTACTTTTCTCAACTGTAACAGCCACCCAGCAGCTGAGTATTTTAGGAAAGAATTTCTCCTGGCACCTCCTGCCTTTGTCTGGAGAAGCTTTAGGGCCAGAGTAGACACATGCCCACGCAGTTAAACATGCAGATGGATGAATTTGGGAGCAGTAAAGGAAGAAGGCTTCATGGTCACTGCTTCTGTGTGTATTAAAGTCTTTGAAGTAATCAGAACCTTCCGCGTCTCAGGAAACAGGGCTTCCCCTCACCCTTCCTGTCTGGGTGCCAGGCTGTGGTTAGAGGTTTGACATGTTAATGGGCTTTAATTGGTTGCTGTGTGTATGGCTTTCCTTCCCGGCAACCTGACGACGGGGTTAATAGCACCCGCTGCTAATTTTTATTTATTTATTTATTTATTTGTGCGGTACGCGGGCCTCTCACTGCTGTGGCCTCTCCCCTCGCGGAGCACAGGCTCCAGACGCGCAGGCTCAGCGGCCTTGGCTCACGGGCCCAGCCGCTCCGCGGCATGTGGGATCTTCCCGGACCGGGGCACGAACCCGTGTGCCCTGCATCGGCAGGCGGACTCTCAACCACCGCGCCACAGGGGAAGCCCCGCTGCTAATTTTTGAATCCGAGCTGCTGGGCCTCCATGCTAGTCTGATGCCCTGGTATAATATACGTCTTTCCTTCTCTATTGAATGTAACCATTTCACTTCATATCCAGAACTGTATTTATTCCCTACAGTTGATTTTACATTTAACTGTTGTTAGACTCATGGACTTAGAAAAGGCTGTTTCAGCCAGATGTTCACTTTCAGTAGAATTAGAGAATCTTAGAATTAGAAGGGATCAGTTAGTCTTATCTTATTTGACCATTGAAGAAACCGAGGCCCAGAGAAGGGAAGTAACTTCTCCAGGTTCATACAGCAAAGAATTGATGTAGCCAAGACAGCAACATAGGTCTTTTCATTCCTGATCCATAAATCTTTCTAAAGTGTCTTTTGAATCATCTTTGGCAGACCACAAATCTGGTCTAGTAGTACCCTCAGTTATGTGACTTATGAGCTCCATTTTAATTACACTGAACAAAATCTACTGTGTAATTTTTGGGTGTATGGCCCTTGGGGCCTAGTAAACTGAAATAGTTCAGACGTTAGAAGGCCTGAAGATCCGCAGCTTGTATATAAAAACTTTCCATGTGATCTGAGAGCTGCCATCCTTGTGAGCTTGATTTAACCTCTTTTGAAAGCTCGCCCAAGGGCAGGGAAATACAAAATTCATTTCAGAAAATGATCTCAGGCTTTAAAATATTTTGTCAGAAAATTCAGCCTTAAATTTCTATTAAGTCCTGTTTGCAGTGGTGAAAGCTTCCTTGATGGTCCTTGGCTTAGGGTCTTAGGTTCTCATTTTTGTTTTTAACAGTGTTTCAGAAGATTGCATTAACTGTGTGGAACATATCCAGTGAAAAAGATGTGTTCCAGAGAACATGATGTGTTTTCAGATCAGAGTGAAGAGTTCTGTGAGGATTTCGAGAAATCACGTGTAAAACATTGACTGTTCATATAACCAGACTGTTACCCAAAGCCAGAGTACTAAATGTTGTATCAGGGAAGTTGTACAGTGCATCATTCATTCTAGCAGACCAGGGGTAGGACCAGGCACAGCAGTTTGGAGGTGTGCCCTCTGGGTCACTGTCCATGGTCCTGAAACCAGGGCTTCCCTACTGGAAACCAGAGTCTCCCTTCTGGGCTCCCCTAGGGGAAAAATCACTGTCATTTTTCCTCAGTGTTATTTTCCATCTTGATTTTAAACTGTATGGTTTTTACATCACTATAGAAGTGACAGAACCATGTCTTGTGTTTCACAATTAAAACATCTAATCCCATGTACATTTGACGATCCTCTTACACAAGCACTGTTTTTTCCTTCGAACTTGAGAGGAGCACACTCCTCTCCCTATGTCTCTCTCTCACCAACATCTTGCTGATGTTATATGGATTTAATGGATTCTTAAACCGGCAGAGCCACTCGACTTGTCACTAACATGGTACACGTTTCTGGCTACTATGACAGTGTTTGTGATGTCTTGCATTTGAGCATGCTTATATAGCTCTTTGTATATCCCCAACTCAAAGTAACCACTAATCTTCTTGAGCCTCCATTTAAGTTACCAGGGTGGCCTCAACTTGTTTAAGAAAGTTTCCTACTGACCTGTGGGGCTGGAGGCTAGGTATGTTCGGCTATTCTTCTCTCCCAGTTTCTCTTGCTGTAGAAAATTTACTTTTAGGCTCTGAAAAGAAATCCAGAAATTAAGGTGAATGATTTGTATGAACAGAGTCATATCCTTCTAAAAGTAAAACTATATTCTTTTTTTTTTTTTTTTTTTTTTTTTTTTGTTTTATGGCGCTCTCCCATGGCTCACGGGCCCAGCCGCTCCGCGGCATGTGGGATCTTCCCGAAACGGGGCACGAACCCGCGTCTCCTGCATCGGCAGGCGGACTCTCAAGCACTGCGCCACCAGGGAAGCCCTAAAACTATATTCTTATTGCCACATCCAAGTGTGATTAGCTACTAGGCGGGACATACAGACCCCTACGTGTATGTTTGTTAGTGAAGACTTATTCACCATTCCTTAGAAGGTCTGGTAATTAACACTACTACTACTACTACTGCTATCACCTCTGCCAGTAATAATAACAATAATAATATTTTTAATTCTAGCTAACACCTCTATAGTGTTTAGCATGTGCCTGGAACTCTTTTCAGTGTTTTACGTATACTCACTAATTCATCCCTCACAGCAACCCTCTGAGGGAGATGGTATTATAATCCTCATTTGGTAGATGAAACTGAGGCATGCAGAGGCTAAATAATTTGCCCAAGCCCATACTCATATAGTTAATTTCTACTTTAATGCTAGCCCAGTAGAATACTGAGTCTGTAAACAGTGAGAGCAGTGAAATCTGGGTATCCCCCTTACATACTGACTTCTCAGACTGTTGTCAGGTTTTAGAAATCCTGGGGTCTCCTTTCTTCAGCTTGGAGGATATGACTGATAGGAGCTAAAGCTTCCAGTTTATCAGTGTTCCCCAGGCAGGGTTTGGTCATAAGTCATGAGCAGAGGCAAGGGAGGAAGCGCTGGTTTGTATCAGTAGAGCCATCTACATTGATACAAAGAATGACCTGGCAATGGGGTGTCGGATACGGGTAGCCCACAAGGTGATTGAGGGTTAGACTGACATAGTTAGGACTATGTAAAAAATGCTGGGTGACCAGGTGTGTTTAGAAACAGTGTCCATGGCAAGGATGAAAGAGTGGAGGAGGTCAAGAATGTTCACTGTTTTTCAGAGGCAACTCCATCAACTGGAGGTATCACGCCTGAATCTCTCTCCCAGCTTTATATGTTGCTGAACTACCTTCATGTGCCTTAGCGGTTTAAAATTTTGTTTTTCCTTTTCTCTCTTTCTTCTCTCCCTCCCTCCCTTTACCTCCCTTTACCTCCTTCCATCCCCATTTTTCCCTCCCTTGCAGCCTTCACATGGTGACAAGACATCTAATCCTGAAGTCCTGAAATGGATGAATGATTTGGCTAAAGGTCGGAAACAGCTCAAAGGTAAATGCCAGCCAAGGGTCTCCTTTCTCAGGAAGGAAGCAGATAAAATCGTGATAATGTGCTCCAAGCAGTTCTTGATTCTCTTCCACCTGTGCCCTCTTTAAGCTTGTCTCCTGCCTAGATCAGAGGCCCCATCTTGAAATAAAGGGTCCTGGGTCCCCTTCATTGTTTGATCCCATTTAATACATCTCCTTATAAAGAGACTGAGGAACTCCAGACTCCCAGGTGGAATGATTCACTTCAGTGCCAGGAACATTTCAAGATGTGGAGTATTCATTTCCCTGGGTTATTGGTTTCCTGGATGTTAGAAACAGAAGAGGCCTGAGCAATCATTTATTCCACACACCCTATTGCACAGATGAGGACATTTATGTCCAGAGAGAGGGGAAGGTGACATAGCTGGGAGGTGATGACCTAGGAGTAAAACTTGGTTCCCCTTCCTCCTAATCCAGTGTTCTTCTTTCTCTGTCTCTCTGGAGATGGTGGTGTGAGTATTAATTAACTCTAAAATCTGTCTTAAGGGATGATGGTTATTTACCAATAAAAATTTATTTTCTTCCTCTCTCTACACTTTTTATTTCAATACTTAGAGACATGGGAGTTTTTCCAGGTTTCTAGAAGGATGGTGATAAAGAACTGAAAGGAATATTAATTCAGTGGTATTGAAGTGTAGTGCTGTAGCAGGTTTATAATGTATGCGGTGTTTAAACACCACGCCAGAGCCTAACTAAAAAACAAACATCAGAGAAGATGAGCTATGTATGTAATTGAGAAATCAATATAAATGGCCTCATTCAAACGAGCAGTCCCCTAGCATATTCTGAAATCTAATTTCTTGATAAGTCCCAGGTGGCCTTTTTATTTTTAATTATGTAGGTTTATATAAAGTCACATTGCAATAATGGTGATTTCTGGATTTTAAATACTGGCATTAGACAAAATTGTGAAATCTGTCAAGTTGGGGCTGGCATTCCCATGTCCCCTTCCCCACCCCTCCTATGCATCCTTGGACGTCTGCACTGTGTAATGCCTTCCAGAAGTACTTGCATTTCTGCAGGGGCTCTTAATGGCTGCACAACTTTCAAAACCCAAGTAAATGAATTTCAGGTATAGAATTTCAGGTGTCGTGATAGATAACAGGTGAAAACTTTGGGGCCAGGTACCACTGGTCTTCCTCCAGGACTCCTGCTTGGGAATTTAGACCACTGAGTTACTCCCACAGATGATGCTCCACCTCCATGAGATCCCAGCCTCAAGAGCCCTCTGCTTTCACATCTGGGGAACCATCATCGGCACTGTTCATTTCCACTCGGCATCAGGGAAGGAATTCCTGAAAGGCTCTCTGCTCTTATTAGGGCCAGTGAGTCCTCCTTGCTCCTGGTAACTCATGGCATCTCTCTTAGAGCTGAAGCTGAAGCTGTCAGAAGAACAAGGGAGTGCTCCCAAAGGCCCACCTAGAAATCCATCCTGTGAGCACCCTGCAGTCCCCCGAGAGAACGGGAAGCCGGAAGCTGTGGGCCCTGAGCCAGGCTCCTCTGGAGAGGAGACGCCAGATGCTGTGCTGACATGCGTGAAGGAGAGGAGAGAGCAGCTTCCTTCTCAGGAGGTTTCTAAGGTACCTCGCCAACCTTCACAGGGCCCCACCACTCCACATGGTGCCACTGAGATCATGATTTTGACCAATTTGTAAGAGCACTTTGGTACCACGTAAATATCTTTAGGAGACTGGCTCCGAACTTTCAGTCAGATGAGTTTCCAGTGGGTTATTAGCTATGACCTAGGGCATTGCCATTCTGGAGGTTACAGTGTCACATGCTGATGGGGAGACGCATGGTAAAGACACTGGGGCATTTCATATTCCTTTCTCCCCAGCTTCCCCTGATAAGTTAGCAAATGAACCCAAGACTAGGATTACAATCTCACTTTACTGTATGTTTTATTAAGAAATAATAAAGCAGGGATGAGGTGTAAATCGTAAGGAAAGTGGTTTAGTATTTTATATGATAAGAATACAGACGTAGGGTTTCTTGAGGAATGTTAGGTGAGATGTCTAAAGACTTCAGCTTAGACATCTTGGTTTTGAAATCTTTGTGAGATACCCAGATAGAGTTGTCAATTATGCATTTGGATATGGGCGCCTGGAGCTCAAAGAAAAGATTATATTTTACAAAAATGATGATGAAAGCAATTAGTATTTAGTACTTACCTGGTTAATCCCTTCTCCTGCATATCTGTGCTTAACATTTTACTTATGCCAAGGAACCTTCCTTGTAGTCCTTCCTGTCTGAACTCTGAGTGATGTGGTTGCCTTTCATTTCTTGAATAATCTGTAGCTACCTTAACATAGCTCTAACTGTGCTCTGTGCCATTTTCTGTCCCTCATTATAGTACTTGAAACTTCTTGAGTAGAGTTTAGGCTGTTGATTGTTCATGATCCTTAGTGTCTGTACAAAGTAAGTATTGAATAAATGTTGGCAGAGTGAATGGATATATGAAAGAACAAACTAGCATGTTTGACTTTGAAATGAAGTCTTCTTGAGGAGAATTCTGGCTTCACCTGTTCTATTGTACATTATCTAGTCTTGATTATAAGGTGGCAACATTTACCAAATCCCAAAAGGCTTACCATATGCCCCCGGACTAGTCCTTTACACGTGATCTACAAGTAGAAATGGGCCCTTGGCTACCTCTGTCTTTATGAAATACCTTTAAACTTAAAAATAACCAATATATGTTGTGACTAGTGGTTTTCATCCACTCAGCCAACCTGTCCCCTCCTCCCACCCCCACATATTCAGGACTTTGTGATAGTCAGTGGATAAGTGGATAACTAACTTCTCTCTCTCTCTCTCTCTCTCTCTCTCTCTGTGTGTGTGTGTGTGTGTGTGTGTGTGTATAAACACATACACACACATAGTCAGGCACATCTGTGGTTTTCCATCCTTCAGTGCTTCTGATGGTCTTTCCCATATTTTATAGTTTTGACCATGTCTATAAAAGCAGCTTGGTCAACACCCAAGCCCTAATTCTGTGTTCTACTCAGTTGACTAAGGAGTGAGGGATGAGCTGGGACTGGTATAATAAGCTTAGAGCAGGACTCAGTCCTTGAACAAGACACTTTCTAATCATACACACTTGGCAAGTGAACTAATTCTCTGATATTCAACTTCCTCATCTATCAAATACAGATAATACCTATTTATATAATTATTGTGACAATAAAAGGAGATGCCTGGTGACCAGTGGGCAGTCATTCATTTGCAAAAAGATTTGAGTGCCTACTATGTGTTGTGAACTATGATCCATGCTGGATATAAAAAATAAACAAGATAGAGAAGTGATGTGGGTTACCGCCTTCATGGAGCTCATGTTTTTCTGGGAGTTGGGATATAACAAGAAATAACTCAATAGACAAAATCATTAAAATTTTTTATAAGTACTGTGCAAATAAACAAATGATATGATAGAAAATAATGAGTAGGGATGGTTTCTATTTTATATAGGGTGATTAGGAAGGCCAATAAGATGACATTTAATGCAGAAGAATCAGCAGGCGAAGAGAGCAGCAAAGAACATTCTAGACGGAACTGCAAGTATGAAGGCCTTTGAAGGAAGAGCTTGTTTGTAGTTGGAGTTCTCAGGTCTGAGGGCTGGAGCACAGGATGGCATGCGATGAAGTCAGGAAAGATAGGTCAGGGCACATAACACAGGACCTTTTAGGCCACTGAAAGGATCGGGAAGCTGTTGAATGGTTTTAAGTGCGAAAGTGACATGGTGTGATTTACACTTTAAAGATCTTTTTGATTGCTGTATGGAGAATTAATCATAGGGGAAAAGGGTGGAAAAGGGAAGATGAAATGGGTGGCTTGGACTAGTATGGTAGCCTTGGAGATGGAAAGAAGTAGACACATTCAAAGTATATTTTGGATATAGAATCAAAAGGATGTGCTGAATCGTTGGATGGTAGGGAGTGAAGGAAAGGAAGATGGATCCATTTACTGAGATGGGGAAAAACTAGAGGAGGAGCAGATTGAGGGTGAGAGTGAAAACTCAGGAGGTCTGTTTGTTTTAAGATCTTTCAGGAATAGGGTGACCGACCATCCCAGGTTTCCCTAGACTTTCTAACTTTAGCACTGAAAATTCCATGGCCCACCAAAAGCCTCAGTCCTGGGAAAACTGGGATGGTCGATCACCCTCCTGAGGTATTCAAGTCAAATAAAAACATGTAAATGAAAATCTGAAGGTCAGAGAAAAACTCTGAGTTCTTTAGAAGTCATCTTTATTTAAATGGCAATTTATTTCTGTTATTTTAAAAGAAATAGCCATTAAACTGTTTAGTGTCAGAAGCCCCTTCAAATAAACCTATCTTTGCAGTAGGCTAAAGCGAGGCCCTTTAAATAGAGAGCATCTGCAGTAGATCATGTACGTCTCAATATCTAAAGCTGCAGTATTGTTCCTGGGAGAGCTTAACACAGCAGACCATGAAGTGGCTAGGCAGCTATTAGGTGGTTCCTAAGGGGGAGTCCAGAAGCCACAGAAGAAGCAAAGGGAGGATTGAAAATTTCCACAATAGTATTATTCCTGGCTCCTCAGTGAGCTTATTCACATTTGAGATTATCTCATTAGGTCCCAATTCTTTAAACTCAAATTGATGGATGGTTTTCATCTGGAGTCTTTGCTCTACTGCTTAAAATGCATTAAATATTAAGCTACGAAGATGAAGTTATTTCTTTTCTAGAGAGACCTTCGTTATGACACCTCTTGAAATTTTTGCTTTTGGTGTTTAGTCAGAGCTCACACTAAAGCTGCTAAACCCTACAGCATTGCCTTGTCAGTTCAGATACTGCTACCGAGTAATTTTCTTCCTCCATCATCTATGGAGGATTTTTGGAGATAATCACTTTTCGGTCACAGGGCATCCGTTGAGCACTGGAAATGAATGAATCAACCCTAGGTCTGATTGTGGTGCTTATTTATGTCCTTTTCTTTTGAAAATCCTGAATTCGTACTGGCATCTATCCCCTTTTTATTGTCCTTTCCAAGAACTGTAGGTGGAGTCAGGTGCACAGCACAAATTACCAACTGGATGAGTAATGGCAGTTACTTCTTCTGGCCCTTCATTAACTGCAGCATCTTTGAGGAGAAAAGCAGATTTTCTTTTTAACATCTTTATTGGAATATAATTGCTTTACAGTGATGTGTTAGTTTCTGCTTTGTAACAAAGTGAATCAGCTATATGTATACATATATCCCCACATCCCCTCCCTCTTGTGTCTTCCTCCCACCCTCCCTATCCCACCCTTCTAGGTGGTCACAAAGCACTGAGCTGATCTCCCTGTGCTATGCAGCTGCTTCCCACTAGCTATCTATTTTACATTTGGTAGTGTATGTAAGTCAGTGCCACTCTCACTTCATCCCAGCTTACCCTTCCCCCTCCCCATGTCCTCAAGTCCATTCTCTACGTCTGTGTCTTTATTCCTGTCCTGCCCCTAGATTCTTCAGAACGACTTGTTTGTTTGTTTTTAGATTCCATATACGTGTGTTAGCATATGGTATTTATTTTTCTCTTTCTCACTTACTTCACTCTGTATGACAGTCTGTAGGTCCATCCACCTCACTACAAATAACTCAATTTCATTTCTCTTTATGGCTGAGTAATACTGCATTGTATATATGTGTCACATCTTCTTTATTCATTCATCTGTCGATGGACACTTAGGTTGCTTCCATGTCCTGGCTATTGTAAATAGAGCTGCAGTGAACATTGTGGTACATGACTCTTTTTGGATTATGGTTTTCTCAGGGGATATGTCCAGTAGTGGGATTGCTGGGTTGTATGGTAGTCCTATTTTTAAGTTTTTTTAAGGAAACTCCGTACTGCTTTTCATGTCTGATTCTATTGATCTGAATCTTCTCCCTTTTTTCCTTGATGCGTCTGGCTAATGGTTTATCAATTTTGTTTGTCTTCTCAAAGAACCAGCTTTTAGTTTTACTGATCTTTGCTATCGTTTCCTTCATTTCTTTTTCATTTATTTCTGATTGATATGATCTTTATGATTTCTTTCCTTCTGCTAACTTTGGGTTTTTTTTGTTCTTTCTCTAATTGCTTTAGGTGTAAGGTTAGGCTGTTTGAAATGTTTCTTGTTTCTTGAGGTGGGATTGTATTGCTATAAACTTCCCTCTTAGTACTGCTGTTGCTGCATCCCATAGGTTTTGGGTCGTTGTGTAGAAAAGCAGATTTTTAAAAAACATAATAATTCATTTTATTTTTTTAAATCAAGTAAAAATTTGATAACTGATTAGTGAGTAGTTGTGCATTGGAGAGAGGGAAGACTTACAGGTAAAATGCACCGAAAGGAAGATCCCGTCAAGTTCTTCTGCTTACCTTTTTAACAAAAATTTAATTTTCTGAATAGGTAATACTTTCTCACATAGTTCAAAAAATATAAAAGGTTACACATTAAAAAGACTCCTTCCCACCCCATCTGCCAGCTCCAGTTCTGAGGTCTCCCACTCTAAGCAGGTGTAACTATTGCTATGAATGTTTTAGGTGTCCTTTTGGAGTTTCTATATAAAGCATATAGAAGAAAGTAAACACGCATTTTTAATTTGCCCCTTTTGAAAAAACGTAGCAGGCTACATAATTATGTATCCTTTTTTCACTTTGCATATTCTAGATAGCTTTTTATATCAAGACATAGAGTGCTTCTCAATTTTTTTATCTTTAAAATTTATGCTTTAATAGCACCATGGTATTCCTTTATTAGTAATTTACAACATTGATAGTAACCTCAAATCAACTAGTTTGATAGCTTAAATAATATTTAGTATGCTTGACTCTGTGCCAGGGACATTTACATAAGATAATTAAAAATCCTCATTCTGCATATTAAGAATTTGCACATTAAGAATCTAAGGTTCAGAGATTCCATAATTTTCCAAATTAAAAATAGTGTGTAATTCTTGAAGCCAGTTATCTGAACTCATGACCTGTTTTCAAGGCCAGTATTAATTGGCAGTATGCTTAGAAATCTGAATGGACCAAGCCATTCTCTTCAGCAGTTGCTTTGTATGATTATGTTCATTATTGACTTCCCATGTTGTTGGACTGACTGGTTAGTTCAAGCTGTCAGACTTGTTCCACATATACTTTCTCCCTCAGTGAGGGGCTGGGGAGACTTAGACACAGGGAAAGTTTGGCAAGACTTGAGTCCCTAAAGCTGAAGAGTAATAGATTCTCATCACTCACTGTCCAGAGAGGAGAATTGTCAGTTTTACCTCCCTCTCAAGGAGAGAGCTTGTTTATGGTGACGGTTCGACTGATTTTTATGTTTCCTTGGTTTACTGTGAAAGAATACATGGGACCAGTGCCATGGGGAGAACGGATAACAAGTTTGGTGGTAAAAGCACTTAAGCTGTGGCAGTTTTTTCCCCAAACAACTTTCTGACCAGGGCCTAGAAAGAAATAACACTTGGGCTGACCACTCAGCAGCAGTTCTGCTTGGAAAGCCAGCTTGTTTGGGGGGTACTATTCCAGATCTTGATAATTCAAGTAACCTACTGGATAGGGGGCCAGGAGTTTTTCATGACGGAATTGTCAAGCTATCAACAAAGTATATCAAATTTTGTTCTATGCGCAGTCCCTTCTTGCTCAACCTCCTTTAAGTTACATTTCTTCTGATGCCATATAAAATGGAGGAGCAGGAAGTAAGGATAATTAGCTTTGGGGTTTACCTCCTTATATTTATCTTTAAAATCTGACAACCCATTCATGCGCTGGATATCTCTCTCTGGCTCTTTCAGGTTATTCAACACAGTCCTTGTTTTCTCCATTTAAATAAAAATCATAAGTTAGATACTACTAACATACCATAGTCAGCCACCAATATGCAGAATTAGGGAGGGAGGATGCATTTCAGAAACAGAGCCATTGAATTAAGAGGAGAGAATGGTCTGATTCTTAGTAGAAAGCGGCCGAGGAATAGCAAAGTCTAATGTATTTCTGCCCCTTAGATTTGAGGTACCTATCCTGCAGAGCCTACGTCTTGACTCATTTTCCACCATGAAGATTGACATTGCAGGCCTTATAATAGCTGGTGTCCATAGGCCCCTGAGTAGAAGACAGCTCTTGGCACATAATCTCACCACTAACCCTTCTTCTTCAGGCAGCATGCCTTCCTGTGCACATATATTTGAGGATAAGCACTTATGGCATTGAAGTCCTGTACTTACAGCCATTGAACCCTCACATCTGTCTTTGGGGATTACTTTAATAATGATCCTAAAAGTAAAATCATAGAATCATGAGAGTGAAAGATGAGTGCCATACATTGTACTTGTACCCCGACTTTTATCTAGCATCTGAGGAAGGAACTTTTCTATAATGGCATTCATCATTCTAACTTGCTTTTTGGTCACTCTTTTCTTTCTCTTTTAAGACTAAATTTAGCTTTTCTAGAATCCAGACAATATAGTAAAAATAAATAAAACCAAAAACATCAAACTGCAATAGAGATGCCAATAATAGTTAAATGCATCATTTTCTGAAGAGCTTTCTATGGAATATAAGTCCCAATAAGATACTGAATAAAAAGCATTATTTCAGTGTTTTCTGAACTTAGAGATTTCTTTTTCTTTGTCACCTATTAAAATCCCATGGAATACATGAAAGAATTTTTTATTTTCTGTGTAAAAATGTGTCATGACTAAGAAAATGTTTAAGGAATGATTGAGCTAGAAAATGAAGGGCTCTTGGAAAGCTCTTAAAATGCTCTACAGAGAGAGGTGGTCTTTCTACTGAAAGAAAAGACCTCTAAAAATTACACTACTTTTGCATATAAAGCTGGGTTGTTAGATGGGTAGTAGGAAAGGGGATACATTGGGTACTGTGAGAATTTGAAGAAATAAGTGATATAATTTATTTGGGCAGACAAGACTGAAACACAGAAAACAGTTAAGGCCCAGACAGTGAGACACAGAGAAGTTCAGAGAAAAGGAAGATCAATATGGGCCAGACACTTAGCTAGCTTCCATCTCCTGGCTATTGTAAATAGAGCTGCAATGAACATTTTGGTACATGACTCTTTTTGAATTATGGTTTTCTCAGGGTATATGCCCAGTAGTGGGATTGCTGGGTCGTATGGTAGTTCTATTTGTAGTTTTTTAAGGAACCTCCATACTGTTTTCCATAGTTGCTGTATCAATTTACATTCCCACCAGCAGTGCAAGTGTTCCCTTTTCTCCACACCCTCTCCAGCATTTATTGTTTCTAGATTTTTTGATGATGGCCATTCTGACCGGTGTGAGATGATATCTCATTGTAGTTTTGATTTGCATTTCTCTAATGATTAATGATGTTGAGCATTCTTGCATGTGTTTGTTGGCAATCTGTATATCTTCTTTGGAGAAATGTCTATTTAGGTCTTCTGCCCATTTTTGGCTTGGGTTGTTTGTTTTTTTGTTATTGAGCTGCATGAGCTGCTTGTAAATTTTGGAGATTAATCCTTTGTCAGTTGCTTCATTTGCAAATATCTTCTCCCATTCTGAGGGTTGTCTTTTCATCTTGTTTATGGTTTCCTTTGCTGTGCAAAAGCTTTGAAGTTTCATTAGGTCCCATTTGTTTATTTTTGTTTTTATTTCCATTTCTCTAGGAGGTGGGTCAAAAAGGACCTTGCTGTGATTTATGTCATAGAGTGTTCTGCCTATGTTTTCCTCTAAGAGTTTGATAGTTTCTGGCCTTACATTTAGGTCTTTAATCCATTTTGAGCTTATTTTTGTGTATGGTGTTAGGGAGTGTTCTCATCTCATACTTTTACATATAGCTGTCCAGTTTTCCCAGCACCACTTATTGAAGAGGCTCTCCTTTCTCCACTGTATATTCCTGCCTCCTTTATCAAAGATAAGGTGACCATATGTGCGTGGGTTTATCTCTGGGCTTTCTATCCTGTTCCGTTGATCTATCTTTCCATTTTTGTGCCGGTACCATACTGTCTTGATTACTGTAGCTTTGTAGTATAGTCTGAAGTCAGGGGACCTAGAGTCTGTCATACAGAGTGAAGTAAGTCAGAAAGAGAAAAACAAATACCGTATGCTAACACATATATATGGACTCTAAGAAAAAAAAAAGAAACAGGTCATGAAGAACCTCGGGGTAAGACGGGAATAAAGACAGAGACCTACACAGAGAATGGACTTGAGGATATGGGGAGGGGGAAGGGTAAGCTGTGACAAAGTGAGAGAGTGCCATGGACATATATACACTATCAAACGTAAAATAGATAGCTAGTGGGAAGCAGCCGCATAGCACAGGGAGATCAGCTTGGTGCTTTGCGACCACCTAGAGGGGTGGGATAGGGAGGGTGGGAGGTATGGAGACACAAGAGGGAAGAGATATGGGAACATATGTATATGTATAACTGATTCACTTTGTTATAAAGCAGAAACTAACACACCATTGTAAAGCAATTATACTCCAATAAAGATTAAAAAAAAAAAATATATGGGCCAGAATGGTTCTCAACTGGGATGGGGGTAAGGTAGCATGAGAATAACTAGCAAGCTTAAAAAATACACCTGCTTGAGTCATTTTCTTTTCCTTCAGGATTCTCAGAGGGGATCTGGAAGGCAGAGTCAGATAGGACACTTGGGCAATTATGCTATGTGCTATTTCTACCATTTCCTTCCCACTACCTGCTGAGTGAGAACCATTGGACAAGAATGAAAAGGAGGTTTTTTTGTGGTAAATATGTAGAAAACTTAATGCAGGACACACATCAGGGGGGAAAATGAAGGCAAGCAGAGGAGTTTGGTCATTTTGGCTGGAGAGGTAGATAGGTTGGGATAGGTAGGTAGGTAGGTGATTAATAGATAAGTAGAAAACTGTGTAAAGTTTTATGTACTTTGTGACATGTTAAAAATGGTGCTTAGGGATGAGCCAAAGAGCAGCAGGGTAATAGAATACATCAGTAAACAAGAGGTTATGAAGTTTTTTGGCTGGAAGGAACTTTTTAACTCCAACTTCCTTGTTGTATAGGTAGGAAATTGAGAATTCAGAGAGGTTAACTGTTTTATCCAAAATATTTAGTTTATGTCAGATTTAGCCTGTAAGCTAGCATATAATCCAAGTATGTAGTGATGAAGACCTAGACAAGGTTGGTGTCTGTGGATATAAAAGATCTTGAAAGTCAGATAAAATACATGTTTCAGAAGAAAAATCAGTAGCTCTTGGATCACCCATTGGTTTTTTAAGAATGAAGAAGTAATTAAAAAACAGGGTCCTTACCATTTAAACATTGAGGAGTCCTTCAGTGAGCTTTAAAAACGTATTTCTAAACTTGGACCTATCCTTTAAGAAACTTTCCTAGAAGAAAATTGGCGTGTGCTTCATACAGTGTCTTATAAATGACTTACCTTTTTAAGATTACTGTTGCATTTTAGTACTATAATCCCTTAGAGGCTTCAAAACTTTTTTTTTTTTTTGGCCTGCTAAAAACATTGATGTGTTTTCATTCTTGTTCGAGAAAGGAACAATAATTATTCATGTTTTCCAGGTAACTAAGCAAGACAAGAACCTCATAAAGCCTCTTTATGACAGATACAGAATTATCAAGCAAATCTTGTCCACGCCTTCCCTTATTCCAACAATTGTAAGTCGGGATGTTTGCATTAACTAGAAATCTGTCCTTGTGCTTTGTATTGATGTTTAGTTAGGGAGGCAGCACCATGAGAGTTATAAAGGAGCCTTCTTTGCAGGTTATGCTGCTAACAAGGCCAGTTGTTTTTTCACAAAGTAGAAATGTGGTCTCCCTCAACTCCAGTACTGTACTTAACAGTGGCTGATAATTAAAACTATTGTGATACAGGAATAGATAGCAATTCTATTTTTGAAGCCAGTTATTACACTTGCTTTCATTGCTTGGGTGAGGAGAACAACTGACGGATTTTAGTTTGGCATTGCCTAATTTACAGCAACACAGCTAGACAGAACAGAGCTGTTCTAGTCTGTGTGTTGTTAATTTTTCTCCTTTAATAAGAAAATTGATAGTATGTTCCTTGATATAACGCAGCATTTGTTTTTGGTACCATTTGACCATCTCTGCAAGATATAAGTAGATTTATTTCAATAGAAAATATGAATACTGAAACTGAGTTAGACTACTTTTAATAAAGAATGATTTATGGGAATACAGAACTTGAAAAGCACCACACATCCTACTCCATCAATATTAGAACAGTCACTTGCTCAAGATATCAATATTAAAATATTAACAAATTCAAATTTAAGTATACTTTAGTACATTTATATTTCCACAACTCTAAAGACAAAGACAATAGTGATTCATACTCTTTGAAATTTTCCAATTAAGGAAGCATAATTTAAAATGGGGTATGATTTTCAGATTTCCTTGCAAGAAAATCTTTTGGTTGTGATAAGCATTACCTGAACAGGTTAAGCAGTAACTCAATTTTGTTTTGGCCTTCATAGAGCTCTTCCCTGAATTTGTCAATTATCTGAGCATTCTCTGTATCTGAAAGTGGCCCACACCAGGACCTGATTTGGGGTATTTCTGGATGACAAAAGAAGTCTATGGTCCATCTCATCCTAACCCATATAACTGTTAAGAAGCTGGGGCCCAGAAGGCCTGGGTGAAAGGGAAGAATTACTAGGCAATGCAGCCCAGATTGGAACATATCCTAGACGTCTGTGCCTGCTTTGGCCCAGCAGAGAGATCTGAGCTTGGTGAGCATTTTAGCCCAGGCTGGGTGCTTCTTTGCTCATTAACTTCTGCAAGTTTTTTGATGCAACTGAGCAAGAGTTCCTCTTTGTTGCTTTCTTCTTGGTTCTCAGTAGGCACAGGGATCATCTGCTGTTTTCATTGTGTTTATTTATGGTTCCCCTTCCTGGTTTTGCCTCCTCAAGAGGCACGTAGCATTTTGTAACTTTATTTAATTCTTCCTATGATAAGCAGGAGGAAGAAGACTCTGATGAAGACTGCCCACAGGGAAGCCAACAACTTTCTTTGCCAAACCCAGCATCCCACCTTCCTATTGGCGACCACCTCACCTACTCTAATGAGACTGAGCCTGTTAGGCTCCTGCTACCAGATGAAAAGAAAGAAATCAAACAACCAGCTCTCTCCATGTCCAATTTACATGAGGCCACCATGTGAGTGTGAATCCTCAGTGTGGAGTCTCCTTTAACTCCTTCTGGTCTGGGGGACATTATATGTCCGTACACACAAAATGCAGAAGAGCTATTACACGCTCTAAAAAATGCTATCCAGCAGAAAGCATAATCTGGTTATCCTTTTAACAGGAAAATTGAGAAGACAAAGCCATGAGGAACCAAGGCTCCCAATAAGGTCCGAAGGATGTCATAAATGCTAATGGTCCATTTGCTACACTTGCACATCTTTTTCGCAGGGTCTGGCACCAATCTAATGCTTGGCAGTGTGTAAAGCAGAGTTGGCCTTTGAAAATGCTGGACCAAAAGGAATTGGGATCCTGTGCTGGGTCAGCAGTTGTCAGGGCCTTTATCTTAGTCTATTCTATTGAGATAAAATGGTTTCTCCAGACTGGGACTTAAGTAAATATGCTGACCTTTTTCTCCTAATGGCCACTCAGTCAGGAGCCATTTGGATTTTCATTAGTATTATCATTATTGTTATTATCATTATTCAGTAGCTGGCACTCCTCTTGATCATTTGGCCTTCTTTGGTTTGTATATTACAGGCCAGATCATGAGCTTTTCTTTAACATGTACAATAGTGTGGTGAGTATATGCCCCAAGATAGGGATGGAACCCCCATAAATGTGAGGCAAGACCAAGCACTAAGTTGCAAGCTGAGATTTTAGTGTGCTTACATCAGTTGGTACCCCAGTTTCAGCTCAGAGAAGAGTGACCTGTTTGGAAGCAGAACATCAATCCTTCCTTCTTCCCTCCCCTTCCTCCTCTTTC